GGAGAGATGGAGTGAGGTAAAGAGGAAGGGAGGAAGGAGAGTATTTTCCCTTGCTAATCTTATATCTCTCATTTAGGCTTGATACACTACTTTTACTTTTTAGGTAGAATTTTCAGCAAATTTGTTGATAATAAATATCACAGTTTTTTTCTTTATTCTAAAGGGAATGCCCCTAGAATTTCACTCTTTTTTTTAATTTTTAAAAAATTTGTATTGGAGTTCAATTTGTCAACATATAGCATAACACCCAGTGCTCATCCCGCCAAGGGCCTCCCTCAGTGCCCATCACCCAGTCACCCCAACCCCCCACTCACTTCCCCTTCCACTACTCCTTGTTCATTTCCCAGAGTTAGGTGTCTCTCATGTTTTGTCACCCTCACTGATATTTTCTCTCCTTTCCCTTTCACTAATTTTTATATTCCCCAAATGAGCGAGACCATATAATGTTTGTCCTTTTTTGATTGACTTATTTCATTCAGCACAACACCCTCCAGGTCCCTCCACGTCGAAGCAAATAGTGGATATTTGTCGTTTCTAATGGCTGAGTAATATTCCATTGTATACATAAACCACATCTTCTTTATCCATTCATCTTTCGAAGGACACCAAGGCTCCTTCCACAGTTTGGCTATTGTGGACATTGCTGCTATTAGCATTGGGGCGCAGGTGTCCCAGCATTTCACTGCATCTGTATCTTTGGGGTAAATCCCCAACAGTGCAATTGCTGGGTCGTAGGGCAGGTCTATTTTTAACTCTGAGGAACCTCCACACAGTTTTCCAGAGTGGCTGCACCAGTTCACATTCCCACCAACAGTGCAAGAAGGTTCCCCTTTCTCCGCATCCTCTCCAACATTTGTTTCCTGCCTTGTTAATTTTCCCCATTCTCACTGGTGTGAGGTGGTATCTCATTGTGGTTTTGATTTGTATTTCCCTGATGGCCAGTGATGCGGAGCATTTTCTCATGTGCTTGTTGGCCATGTCTAGGTCTTCCTCTGAGAATTTCACTCTTAAATATAAAGTCGGCTCTTGATTTGATATAGAAATTAATAACTATTTTAGGAATTATCCTTCTTTTTTTTAAGGGATATATTGTCACAGGATGCAGAAAGCACACCTACAGCACCATACATTCAGTTCAAGGGCAGAAAAAAAAGTCTTCCTCAACTATTTTCTCTCTTGTGGATGATTAAAAAAACAAAAGAAACCAGTCTCTTGATTTTCCTTTGGGTAATATTCCTCCTCCCTTTGTAAAGATCAACTTTGTTGAAGTTTAATTTATATACAATACATTGTATCAATTTACATATATAATTTGATGAATTTTGACAGATGGACACACTGGTCAAATTGCCACAATCAAGATGCTGACAATTTCTATCACTCCCAAAAGATTTCTCCTCCTTCTTTGTGGTCCATCTCTCTTTTTGCCCATAGCCCCAGGCGACTACTGACTGCCTTTTTATCATTATGGATTATTTGACATTTTCTAGAATTTTATGTAAATGAACATTCTGTATGGACTCTTTTATATCTGCTTAAAAAAAAAAAAACCTTAGCTCTACTCCCACTTCTAGAGGTAGATGTGGCCCCTTGAAAGGTAAAGAAACGACGAAACTAACAGTAGACTTTCTGTACCTTTCGATGGGCCATATCTACCTTTCTAGAAGGTAGGTCCCTGTGAGGTCCCCTGGAAGCATCAAGGATAGTTTTACTTAGGACATTAGTGAAGAACTCCAATACTAGTGGTTAGTGAGGGTGACTTAGATCCTTTGCCTTTTGAGGGTTTACAAGGAAAAGTGTACTACTCTCGGCATTGATTCTTACTCCCTGTGAGGGAAAGGGGAGCAGATGTTGTGAGTCCACAAGGGTTTAGACTCCAGAACCAATCATCAGCAGTGCCCTGAAATTCTGAAGGCGGCCACTTATGTGTGTAAATGGAAAGGACTCACAGTCTAGGCACTCAGAGAGACAGCCACTCAAGTGTGCCAATTGCTAACCAAGGGGAGGTCTCACTTTGAAAAGCTAGATATGGGGCAGCCCGGGTGGCTCAGCGGTTTATCGCTGCCTTCAGCCGAGGGCGTGATCCTGGAGACCCGGGATTGAGTCCCAAGTTGGGTTCCCTGCTTGGAGCCTTCTTTTCCTTCTGCCTGTGTTTCTGTCTCTGTCTCTGTCTCTCATGAATAAATAGATAAAATCTTTAAAAAGAAAAGAAAAGCTAGATATGGACCCCTATGCTATCTGGGGTGCAAGCCAAAAGAAGTGACCATGGAGAGTAAGTAGCCCCTTGAAAATCCAGGTACCAGTACCCTGGGGGTTTTGAGGGCGGGAGTCACAAGTGTACATTAGTTCCTCATTGCTGCTGTAACAATTTACCACAAACTTAGTAGTTGAAAACAACATATATGTATTATCTTACATTTCTGAAAGTCAGAAATCCAAATGGGTCTCAGTGAACTAAAATTGAAGTATTGGCAGAGCTGTGTTCCTTATGGAAGCTCTCAGAAAAAAATCCATTTCTTTGCCTTTTTAGCTTCTAGAAGCTGTAAGCATTCTTTGGCTCCTGATGCTCTTCCGTATTTAAAGTTAGCAATGGTCAGTCAAATCTTCTTCATGATGCCATCCTTCTGGCTCTGACTCTCCTGCATCTATCTCTCTTCTCCATTTAAGGACCTTTGTGGCTGCATTTGGGCTTACTCAAATAATCCAAACTAATCTTCTTACTTCAAGATCACCATATTAGCAACCTTAATTCCACCTGCAATCTTAATTCCCCTTTGCCACATAATTTACTACATATTTATCATAGGTTCTAAGGATTAGAAGTGGACATCCTTGGGGAGGGTATTATTTTGCCTACAGAAGTGTGTGAAGTGAAGGAGCTGACTACAAAGAGTTACCGCTTTGAGAACCACATACCAGGATCCTGGGCAAGCAAGAGATCGCCATCCATGTGAATTCAGTTTTCTAGCCATGGAGAGCTCACCATCATGAGAACCCATGCATAGTTATCCTGGGCAATCAGGGAAAGGACCATGAGTGGGAAGGAAAGACTGGGAGAGCATCCTCCCTTGAAGAATCCAGGGGGCCAGCCCTAAATGTCCACAGCACAGACTAGGATTGTTTGTTCAATTCGGTAGGGCAGTTTGCAATAAAATTCACAGCCTTCTCTCCCGGAGCAGTGAGAAGCAGGGCAGTTGTGAATGGCCCAACACCAGTATTCTCCCCACAGGGATGTGGAAGTTGGGACTCACTTTTTTTTTTTTTTTTTTTAATATCATGAGCACCTACAGCAGCTCATGCAGATAGGGAGAGATATTAGGCTCTCTGCCAAAAAGTAGATGCTTGAGTCAGAACATTATTTGTAATAAAAATAAAACACGAAGAACAGGGTTTAACATTTTATGTTACAACATTTTAAATAGGAGCACCTGGATGGCTCAGTCAGTTAAGTACCTTCTGCTCAGGCCATGATCTCAAGGTCCTGGGATTGAGCCTGCATTGGGTTTCCTGATCAGCAGGGAGTCTACTTCTCTCTCTCCCCCTCTGCCCCTCCTCACTATTTGTGGTCTCTGTTGCTCTCTCTCTCAAATAAATAAATAAAATCTTTTAAAAAAATTTTAAATAAAGATAGGATCCAACCTTGCAATTAAGAAAAAAAAAGAGTAAATGAAAATATCTATCCTGTGATTCTGAGGATGAATCCATACATGTAAGATCATGTTTCAATATTTTACAAAAATAAGGCAGTTCTGAAATTTCCTTATTTGTTATGTTGCTCAGTAGCTGAGATAGATATAGATCTTGCCTTCAAAATTAACCAAGATTTCAGGGTGCCTGGTTGGCTCAGTTGGTTGAGCCCCTGACTCTTGATTTCAGCTCAGGTCATGATCTCAGGGTGGTGGGATGGGGCCTCAGGCTAGGCTCTGTGCTCAGCAGGGAGTGTGCTTGAGATTCTTGCTCTCCCTCTGCCCCTCCCTCCCCACTCTCTCCTTCTAAAATAAGTAAGTAAATCTATAAAGAAAGCTTTAAAAATTTTAGCAAGATTTCACTGTAGTTTCTGAAAAACTGAAATGAAAAATGGCTCATTTTTATAATCCCATTTTCCTTGTTGATGAATAACTATACAGTTTAAATTTTAAATTTTCTGTGAAATTGGGAAAATATAAAATATAGAGACAAATCTTATATACACATTTGAGGGAGTCTTTTTCTTTTAGAATGAATATTTAAGCAGTTTTGTGGTCAGATAATAATGAGTGTACTCATCTTCGCAGAATGAATGAAGTTCTTTTTGATTAGTTCTCAGTGTCAAATATCCATGAATGAAGAGAATGTGTTGTAAGAAACTGAGATGTAGCCCCTATCTAGAGACTTCAAGGAATTGCAGTCATGTGTAGTACGCATGTCACCATCTTTATTCCTCGATAAGAGAGTCTACAGAGACTAACATGAGAAAGGGGTGTCTGCAAGATGCCAGTCTGTTGGACAGGGCATCTCTTCAGATGAGCCAGCCATCACCTCACCAGTGCACACACTTGCTTCTCTATTTTTTAAAAATTATTTATTTGAGAGAGAGAGAGAACAAGTAAAGATGGGGAGAGGGAGAGGCAGAGGAAGAAGCAGGCCCCTTATTGAGCAGGGAGCCCATGTGGGGCTCAATCCCAGGACCCCGGGACCATGACCTGAGCTGAAGATAGACTCTTAACCAACTGAGCCACCCAGGCACCCCCCTGCTTCTCTATTTTGACCACTGTGTCATGTTATAATTTTTGATAACTCTATAGGTCTTACCTATTGTAGCCTCACATGGGGCTCTGATCATCTTTTTTTTTTTTTTAAGATTTTTTTTTAAACTAATTTCTCCACCCAACATGGAGGTTGAACTCCCAACCTAGAGATCAAGAGTGTCATGCTCTACTGACTAAGCCAACCAGGTGCCCCGAGGCTCCGGTCAACTTATGAGAACATTATAGCAATTTTTTCCTCAATTCTATCTGCAGGACTGACCTGACATCTTTAATGTCTTCAGCTACTCTGGTAAATAGCCCTCAGTGCTCTAAAATAGGTAAGATGCTCTGCCTGCCTCCTATGAAAATTGCTCGAGGCTTTTCTAGTCTTTTTTACAGGTCTTATCTATAGATTGTTGCTTAGAAGACTCCCTCCCCTCAGTGCTTTCCCTCCCCTTACTGAAATGCTTCACACGTCTGTCTCATAGCAGCCCTAAATCATTGCTTATCTCTGTGGATAATTTATCTCTTCACACAGGACTCTGGCTTTTAAGGGAAACAGTTCTTAGAAGCTTCTTGAAGGCTGGTTTTTTATCCTGGACACATTACTTATGCTGATGGTCTCTGCCTAGAACACCTTTGCTCCCACTGTCTGGTTAACCTAATTAACTTACTCATCCTTGAGACCTCAGTTTGAATTCTAATTCCCCATCTCCAGCCCCCAGAATAGACCAAGGTCCCCTACCATATGCTTTCATAGGATTCTGTACTTATTTGTTTGGTTATTTGTTCAATGTCTTTATTTTCCATCTATTCTCCATTGAAGAGTAAGCCATATAGGGGATAGGACTGGGTCTGTTTCCTTGGCATTGCAACTGCTGGGCTCAGTTTAGTGCCTGGCAGAAAGTAGGGGCTGAAGAACTACATTTTGACTGAATAAAATAAAGCAGTAATGATATCAGGGCAGCTCTGCATTTAGCATGATGGTTGAAAACATGGGCCATAGTCTATTTGGGCAAGTTATTTAGGCTCTTTTAAAAAATGATTTATTTATTTATTTATTTATTTATTTTTATTTTTTTATTTTACAGAGAAGAAGAAAGAGAAATCATGCAAGAAGGAGGTAGGAGGAGCAGAGGAAGAGAGAGAAAAGCTTAAACAAGCTCTAGTCCCAGTGTGGAGCCCAATGCCAGGCTCAATCTCAAGACCCTGAGATCATGACATGAGTGGAAATCAAGAGTCAGGAGCTTAACTGACTGAGCCACCCAGGCACTCCTAGGCCCTCTTTCTTGTATTATGGGGCTTAGAAAAGTCAGCATATAGTGAGCACCAACCCATAAATACTAGCACCTGACAGACCTATCTCTCTGTAATCATGGCATTTTCATGATCACCACATTCTATTGCTACTTTACTAATGCACTTACCCTGGCTCATCATATAAATATTTCATCTAATCTCTTTGTGTATTTTTAGTGCTTATTATCCCATTTCTCTAAGTTCCCAGGGCTAACTTATCTATCAGTGCAATAGGCAAGCACCCAGGGCCCTACAATACTTGTCAAGGCCCATAAAAATGTTTTAATGTCTTCTACTATTTGAAAGAGAAAACAACAACACCAACCAAACTTAAAGGAAATGTTTACATATATAAATATAAATGAATTGTATTTTATTTTATATATATTTCATAGATATGCCTTTTACATATGCTTTAAACAAATGTTTTATGTATTATAAAATATATCAAATGTATGTGCTTTTATACCAACAAAGCTAGCATATATATGTAACTGTTTATGGAGGAGGAAGGATCCCATGAAGCCAACAGGCCAGGGAAGTCAGAGTGGCATGGCCACGTCCCAGCCTGCTGCTCAGCATCAGGCTTCCCATTTCAGTAAACAGAAAGGAGAACTGAAATACCAGGGCGGTGGCGTCACAAGCTGCGTGCACCATCTGAAGGGTTGATGGCTAGGTCAGGCTGCTGACTGTGAAGGGACATCCCAGCAGCAGGTGACCTTGCTATTTTGGCTCTATCCTCAGAAAAGAAAGGTGCTCCCCCAGACCGGGCTGTAGAGAGGGCTGGCTCCCTTCCTTAGCAGCCCACCCAAGCTGCTGGGTCCTCTGTCCTCGCGTCTATCCTCCCATCTGTCTTCAGGCAGATCTCCTGCCCATACTCACATCCTTTCCCCCTCCCTGGTGCCCAGGACCCTCAGCCCCCGGACAGTACCGGGCTCCTTCCTTGCACTGTGTCTCCAGCATTTCATTTTCATGCCTCCATCTCTCTCCTCCTCCCTGCCTTCTTTCCACTCCCTGTTCTTTTGTCTGACTTTCTTGGCTTTGTAGTTACTTTTTTTATTCCAAATTTCAGGCATTCTTTTTTTTTTCCTTGCTACCTTTCTGTTTTTTTGTTTTGTTTTGTTTTGTTTTTGTTAGCTCCATGTTCTTGGGTTCTCTCTCTCTCTTTCATTTTTCACTTATTTTTCTGAGTAGAGTTGACATAGTGTTATCTTAGTTTCAGGTGTATGATGTAGTGATTTGACAAGTTCATACGTTATTCTATTTTCACCACAAGTGTGGCTGCCATCTGTCTTGTTCCATTGCTATTACAATATTGTTGACTATATTCCTTATGTTGTGCTTCTTATTCCAGGGACTTACTCATTCCATAACTGGAAGCCTGTAGCCTGCTCTTCTTCACCCATTTTGCCCATCCCCCCCACCCCGTCCTCTCTGGCAGTCATCAGCTCCTTCTCTGTATTTATAGGTTTGATTCTGCTTTTTGTTTATTCCTTTTTTAAGATTCTACTTATGAGTGGAATCATATGGTATTTGTCTTTCTCAGCCTGACTTATTTCATTTAGCATAATATCCCCTAGGTCTATCTATGTTGTCTCAAATGGCATGATCTCATTATTTTTTATGGCTGTATAATATTCCTTTATATATATAATATGTGTATGTCTATTTCTTTATTTTTTATAAATATTTTATTTAAATTCAGTTTGCCAACATATAGTATAACACCCAGTGCTCATTCCATCTATATTCCTCTCTTGATGGACACTTAGGTTCCTTCCCTATCTTGGCTGTTGTAAATAACACTGCAATGAACATAGGGTACATATATCCTTTTCAAATTAGTGTTTGTTTTAATTATTGGATCATATATGGTACTTCTATTTTTAATTTTTTGAGGAATCTCCATATGTTTCCTTTCTCTCTCTTTTCAGGTTTCTCTTAGTTCTTTCTTTTTCCAAACACTCTCTCTTTTTTTAATGAGTGCATGGGCAGGGGTAAGGGGCAGAGGGAGAGAATCTCCAGCAGACTCCTCGCTGAGCATGAAGCCCAACATGACTCTGAGATCATGACCTGAGCCTAAATCAAGGGTCCAGTACTTAACCAACTGAGCTACCCTGGTGCCCCTTAAGCTCTCTTTTTTTTGTTTTTGTTTTTAAATTATTGTTCCTTTTCTGTGTTTTGCTTCCTCTTCCTCTGAGAACCTGGCCCTTTCCTTCCTACTCCCAGACTGCTAAGCAGAACTGTAGAAATTCCACTCTCTGCGCTGACCAGCAGAGCCCTGGGGACATCAGCTGCCTCAGCCATTGGGACCACTGGCAAGGAGACTTGAAGTGTGATGCAGACCTCTTCTCCCAGAATCGGGCCTTTATGCACAGGCACTAATTAGATCATTCATTATTCAATGAAGATATTGGGAAGGAGAGGAATAGAAGGCAAATATGTTGCACATCCTGTGTTATCAATGTCATCAGCTGGTACTACCCACTGCTGTGCAGAGAAAACATAGCTTATTTGTTTTGTTTATATTTGACCTGCTTGCCTTTGCAGACCAGCATATCTTTCTACTCCCCCACATACACACCAGTGTGTTGGTGGGCAAAATTACTTGTTTAATTTGGAGTAAATGCAGAAAAACTCTGTAAATTAAACAGCCTCTTTAGTAAATATTTAGGCTTTCCTTTGGGTTGAAGTACCCGGAGTCTCAGATGCTTCCCTCTCCCCTGCTTCTCCTTTGGGAGGCAAGGGGTTGGGGGCAGGGAGGCTTACAGGCTGTCCTTCAGATACTACTAAAGGTCATGGTACCTCTACTTCTTTTGATTCCAGTGGTGCCAACGCTTGTCCTGTTGGTGTTCCCAGATGAAGCCTGCAGCTGCTATAATTCATGATCTGGCCTCTTTTGGACTCACCTCTGTTTTAACTGGTAAGCTAGAGTCCTCTGAGCTATGGCTACAAACCCCACATCCTTGGCATAGAGACCTGGCCACAGGGAAGCACTCAGGCCAGACTTCCGGTTAAGTTCTTAAGTTACTTCTGGGTCCTTTTTGTATCAATCAAGTATCAAGGTCACCCAGGAAAGTTAAAAAGTAGCCTCTCTGTCTGCCTTACAACATGGTTCCACCTAGTTAAAATTACCTAGGTAAAAATTGTCTAGTTAAATCAGCCTAAGACACTCCTTCTAGAGTCCCATGTAGGAAGCAAGACAGAAATGCCTCTTCCAGGGTGCCTGGGTGGCTCAGTTGGTTGAGCATCCAACTCTTGATTTCAACTCAGGTCACTATCTCAGGGTTATGGTATTGACTGGGGTCAGGTTCCACACTGAGTGCAGAACCTGCTTGGGATTCTCTCTCTCCCTCTCTCTCTGCCCCTCCTCTCCATTCATGTACAGGAGATTTCTCTCTCTATTGCTCTGAAAGAAAGAAGAAAAGAAGAAAAGAAAGGAAAGAAAGAAAGAAAGAAAGAAAGAAAGAAAGAAAGAAAGAAAGAAAATTTCCCTTAGCTCCCCCCAATTTATCTAACACATATAATAATACTAGTCTATAATTAGATGAGGTTTAATGCAACAACCTATAAGGAAGACCTACTGTTATCATTCACATCTAAGAAGTGTGAGGCACAGAGAGGTTGAATGACTCACCCACAATTACACAGCCCTTTGGTAAAGGTGGAGCTGGTACAGGAGTCCTGCTGGCCCGGCCACAGAATCTGTGCTCTTGACTCTGGCCTATGCTGTCGTCCTGCCTCTTACGAACCCTTCGGCTTCCTCCCTTCACCCTTCTTATTCTATCCTTGCCTCCATGCCAGAAAAAGGCAAGATTTTATTTCCCTCATTTCTTATGCTCTCTCTATTGTGAAGCTGGTTTACTTACCATATAAAGAATGGAGTGGGTTCAGTTTGTTCTGCACACTTTTCTTCTTCATTTCCAGAGAAAGACTGTGTTGACATTAGCTGTGAGGCAAAAGTTTCACTTCTTTTCTTGTCTACTTTGGAAGTGCCAGTGTGTGTGTGGGGGAAGTCAACCCTCAATCAGGTTAGTAAATTCTTTATTCATTGTCTTACTGAGGACAGTAGCTGGGGAGAGAGCCTTTCAGATTGCTCTGAAGAGCTGTTCTGAAGTCTGTTTGCCTACAGGAGATTATATGCAAAAGGTAAAGTGAGATACATGCTTACAAACAGTCCTCCAAAATATAATTGCACATCACATGGTATAATTTCTTTGGTTGTAAAAATTAAGTTACTGATTTCCATACAGACACATGAGTGACCTCTAGGTCATCTTAATGTTATGTTTCTATCATATCTGATTGTTCAAAACCATTGCCTGCATGACTCCACTTAACTGGCTTTCCAGTTTTTGTTTTTGGTTTCTCCTTGAGGTCACTTGAGAGGGTCACAGGAGACTGACATTAGTCACCTATTGCAATTTTAGTGCAAGAGGACTTCTGGGAACTGCTGAGACTAGTTGGTGGCGGTCACCCAACTCTCACATGAAGATCCAGATTGTGTCCTGTGAGTCTCATTCAGACATCAGCTCTGCCCATCACAAGTAATGCTATCTCTAAAGGTATCAACAGCATGACTACTTCCTCTGGCAGCAACGAAGAAGCCAGCCATGGCTGGCCTCCTGCCTTCTCCCACCTGGGAGTTCAGGAGCAGTGACCACTGTAAGCACCGGGTGTACTTGCCAGCTGTCTAGCATGTGGTTGCTGGCAGTTGTGACTCCACAGTGAGGCACAGGTATTTGCTATAGGGGCAAAGACTTTTTCCTTCTACTTGGTCTGGTACTCCAAGGTGACCTCAGACAAACAGGATGCCATCAGGGCTCTTTTGACAGTGTTCCCCACTGAGACCCAAGGCCCCCCAAAATGCCTTGCAATGGAGCCATATGCACCTGGAAACCTGTTGTCTCAGTTATCTGGATCCTCTATCAAAACCTTTAAATACATAGTTTAAGCCTGATAAAGAACAAAAATTTGAGGAGGCGGGAGAAAAAAAAGAGGGAGGTAAGCCATA